CCCCCTTGTTCTTCTGATCTAACACCAAGGCCCGCACACGCGCAGACGTTGCTTCTGGAAGAGCACCCAAATCTTCCTGTTCAACCACCTAGGAACGTGTCTGGCTCCAACCTACAAGCGATGGCCTCCACCCTAGTCCACTTCCGCCTATGAGATAGGACATACACTCTACACTACACAAACTCTATCCACACATATCCACACATCTTCTACACTTCATCCAATGCAACTGTCCAAGACTTCAAGAAAAGCATGAGACGTCCAAAGAACTGTCAGGGTAGCAACAGGTACGCAATAGGTATATGAGTTAGGACTTTCAGGTCTCAGTAACCCCTTTGTCCAAGGCCAGCGCATCATCGCGAGATAATGGTTCTGAATGATCAGCCTGAACATCTTTACAATGAGGTTCAGGCAGGCAAAAGGCTGCAAGTGAAGAATTGAAAGAGGTTCTGCAAACTTCACCCTGATGAGTTGGGACTTGGACCCACTCCCCATCGCTTGTTCCTCCGATCTAACACCAAGGCCCGCACACCGGCAGGCGTTGCTTCTGCTCGAGAACCTCCATCTTGAGGGTCAGCCACCTAGGAACATGTCTTTTGAAGTCTGCAAGGCCTGAAAGTCTTCACCATGGTGTTTTCAAAAGCGGTGAGGCGGCCCAAGAAATGAAAGGATAGCAGGACAACAAGTTAGAGCTTGTAATTATTATACCCCGCCCTTTCCATGCACAACCAATCTGACTCTTTGTTGCTGCGTCTTAGTCACTGTCCAAGGTCGGGGCATCCCCGGCTGACTTCAATTCTGAAGGCTCAGCTCGAACATCTCCGCGTTGAGGTTCCTAAGGATCGCTCCAACATGCAATTGGCAAACGGCTGTAAGTGAAGAATTGGAACAGGTGTTTGCAAGCGGCTCACCCTGATGAGTTGGGACTTCGACCCATTCCCCATCCCCCTTGTTCCTCCGATCTAACACCAAGCCCCGCACACCAACATGCGTTGCTTCTGCTGGAGCACCCCGATCTTGAAGTTCAATCTCCAGGGGACACAAGAGGAGCATCAAGAGGACTGATATGCACTGATACAACAAACCAGACCCATGAGTTAGGACATCCACTGTTCAACCACCCTTTCCATGAGTTGGGATTCTGCATGAGCAAAACATATATATATATATGTCAATCATCTATGTGTGCATTTGTCAGTGCATCAAACCAGACAAGGCGACAACTGGCCTGAAAAGATAATGGAAGCTTCCTCCGCTTTGGCGGTCTGACCTGCACGTGAGACAGGCCCTAGAACGCCACAGTTTTGTCTTATTGGCAAAGGAGAACTCACAAGCTGAAAACCAACTGCGTTCCACTGATGACACTAACTCATCTACAAATCCTAACTCATCTACAATAAATCCTGATGGGTCTTTCATCTGGGATATCGGCAGGTTCCTGCGCATCTTCTGTTTGATGGAGATTGTGGTCGACCTCACGGTTCAGTCAACGACTGCTTGCACCACCAATGAGGACTATACTCTAAGTGTGTATACTAGTGTGTGTATATATATACATACACAACCAAAGTTTGCAATTATATATAATATGATCGAAGGACTGATCTTTTCCCTTTGCCATCAGCTGTGAATTTTGCATTGAAGCGTGCACTCACGCTTCGGTTGAATTTGGCCACCTATGGCGTGAAGCTGCATTAGAAAAGTCTTTCTCATGACTCTTGAGTCTATCTCATGAGTCAGAGTCATAGTTAAAGCTGCATTTCCATCTGATCCTGCGAATGATCTGCTTGGTATGCCTTCCACCTGGGCTATCCATGTCCCACGCGCTGAACTCAGATGAATCCTCAGATGAATCGCTGTCTTCATCCGGATACGTTGCCAAGTTGGACTCCTGAGTGGCCTCATCTTCGAGACCAGAAGGATTCACAACAATCACCCGTCCATCATCATCCTCGTCTTCAGACTTTCCGTCATCCTCATGTTCAGACTGGACGCCTTCACCAGAATGGTCGCTCCCACCCTTCTTGCCAAAGCAAACAGACAAGCATGCCATCAAAAGGAAAAGGATGCATGCCAACAGCTTTGGCCATTGCAAGATAGACGACATGGAGGCAACTAGCTGCTATGTCCTATCTCTCCTGCACATTGTGTATACTTTTACAAAGAGCGCCAAAAAATGAAAAGGCTCCTGTGTCACTTCCTGTGTCCTATCTCTTGTGCACTGCTTATTTTGATAATGCTATTGCCAATGCAACTAAAGAGCCCTAGTTGCTTGTGCCACATGTAGCTTCTCACACTTTCTACCTGTTACTGCCCTCAAAGCTTCCAAACAAAACTATATCTCCTGCAATACCCCCGAGCACTAGCACTGACAGAGCTCGGAACTCGGAACTCTGAGATCCCCACACGATCAGCCGACATGATCAGCTGGGCTTGTGATGGAAAAACTAAACGTGCATGTGTATATATATATACACCTTTTGGAGCTATTCACTAGCATTTTTGCAGAGCAATTGAACCAGTGGCGTGTTATGTAACTGTATCTATTTGCTGCGGATGAAGTGTGAAGCCTCAACCAATCCATGCACTTCTTTCTTGGAAAGCGGCAGGCGGCAGGCAGGCATCCAGTTCGAGTCCCAACTCACAGTACACAGTCAACATCTGATATACCAAGTTGAAACTTACAAGAGTGCGCGCATGCGTTGCGTGGTCCAGGTCTGTTTGTTTTGGCTTTTGCTGCTGAGATAGGACTATATGGTCCCCCAATTCAGATTGCACACATGAGATAGGAAAACAAAAATCACACTGCCCACATATGCACAGAGCACATGAGATAGGAAAGTAAAATATCAAGATCGTCCGACTACTCCCATCTCTCTTGGAGTCAGTATATATATATATATTGGTCTAACTAACTGGCGAGGCCCGAGCCTCTGTCACTACAACATGCATGGATGTCAAGGTGCAAATCCTTACAAAATGATTGGCCAGGATATGGTCTTGCAACCGTTTCCCGGCTTTGGAAGATGGCTGAAGATGTCCAACAAATCAGCACCTACCCAGTCATGTCCCTCCCAGTTTCCCCTCACCCTGTTCAGCGCTGGACCACGTCCGCTGTTTGTTCAAAAGGACCACTCGGTGGGCGACACCTGCAAACCCGCCACGCGCCTGTGTCAGTTTAGCACATCCGGAGTCTTCCCTACTATCTCCTATCTATTTTCTTTTGCATCGTTGCTAGTAGGTTGGAGGCCATCGGCATTAGGTTATAGAGGCCATTGCAATTAGGTTGGAGGCCATCGCTGGTCGGTTGGAGGCCATTTGCTATTAGGAGGGAGGTCGGCCAGTGTTGGTGCATGTGCTAGACATGGGGATCGTTTGACATCAAAGCCATATTTCGCCAAGGAAAAACCCAGGAAGGGAGAGTCCTAGGCATAGAACCAGTAGAAGGACTCAGAGAAGCAATGCAGCTTCAACAAGGGGAAGTGTGTAACTCGGAAACATCTGCATACGGTTTGATCGATGCCCCATACCTGACTAAACGGAATGGATCTTTCACAATTCGTTGTTCACGGAAAGGCTCTTTTACGATTCTTCGCAATTGGTTCACCCCGTTCTTCACCGAGCAAAGGCGAGGTCGTTTCCCCACGTCGCAACTCCATGAAACGCACGTTGGACACCGAGGGACCAAATGCACTCATCGTACTTCAAGCTGCGACCATCTCGGCAACGCAAGACGCCTCTGTGCCGAACTGCACCCGCGTTGTGCAAAAGGCAAAGCCACAGAGCGTTTTTATACAAACTATCTTTCCCAAACAGCAGCGTGCTTTGGGGCCTTCAGCCATAGTAAAGGTCTCGGAGCAGTCCCAAACAAGGTTCCCGTTAGGTTCCCACAAGGTTTTGAGGATTCCCCAACACGATTCCCACACAAGGTTCCCACCCACAAGCTTCCCACAAGATTTCCCAGGGTTCCCAACAAGATTCCCACAAGGTTCCCAAACAAGGTTGACACAAGGTTTCCCCAAGAGTCCCCAACAAATTCCACAAGGTTTCAGAGGAGGCCACAAAGTTCCCCAACAAGGTTCAACAAGCCTCCTACAAGGTTCCCAACAAGGTTCTCAAACAAGGTTCCCACAAGGGCAGGTTTGTTGTCTTCAACCATAGTAAAGCCGTAGCAGCTCCAAGCAAAGATATTTGACAAGGTTTACAAGGTTCTGACAAGGTTCCCCAGGTTCCAAGGTTTGCAAGGTTCTCCAAGGTTCCCAAGCTTCCCACAAGGTTGCCACAAGGTTTTTGAGGTTCCTAAGATTTGAAGGGCACCACAAGGCTCCCACAAGGTGCGCAAGGAACCCGAGGCCCTGAAGTTGTCAAAGTGTTTGCAGGGTCCAAAAGCTTCCCAAAGCGAAAGGTTCCCAGGTTTCGCAAGTCCCCTAAGGCAACCAAGGTTTCCAAGGTGTCGCAGATTCCCAAGGTCACCACGGCTCCCACAAGGTTTCTAAGGTGCCGATTCAGCCTTAGATACAAGTATGTTTTCTGGGACACTAAGCAAGACGAAATGGAAAAACATCCTCGGAGACTGAACATGATTGCAGTGTATTCTATTGTGCTTCTAGAATCTGTGAAAGCTATCATTTTCTTACCTTGCCACCCTCCTGCCTTCCTTCCTTCTAACCTTCTAACCTTCTATCCTCTTACTCTCCTACTTTCTTACGCTGCTACTGTCCTACCCTCCCTCCTACTCTCCTGCTCCCCTTCTTGCTCTCCTCCCCTCCTCTCTTACGCTCTCTGCCCCGCAAAACAAAGCGTGTCTTATTTCCCAACAGCAGAATGCTCCAAAACCCATTCCCCCAAACTTCCCAAGATTCCAAAGGTTCCCAGGTTCCTTTATAAGGTTCTGAAGGTTCCCACAAGGTTCCCAAGGTTCCCAAGCTACCAAGGTTGCCACGGTTCCCAAGCAAGGTTCCTAAGGTTCCAAGGATTCCAAGGTCACCAAGTTCTGAAAGGTTTGAAAGGCAAGGTTCCAAAGGCCACTGAACATCCGTCACAGACATAAGCTCTTCAATGGCTCTCCTCATCTACGGCCGAGTCCGTTGAATGTTCTTTCTCAATGTCTTATCCTTCCACCCTCCTCTCCTCCTCTCCTGCACTTTTGGGCCCCATTGGACACCCCTTGGATGGTTCAGGTACCTTGCCCTGATCGGTTTTGCCCAAAGGATTTGGTGTGTAGCGAAGTGTTTTGGGCCTCGAGTTCTATTTCGGGCCCCGAATCCGTCGGGCCCGGAGATTCGGTTGCCAAGGGCCCAAGCGTACCCCGTGATGCCTCAGCTTTCTCATGCTTTTATGCTTTATCTTTTTGTATCCTACACTCCTACCCTACGTTCACTTTCAGGCCCCGAATTCATATCTCTTCTCTGTAAATTCGTTGGAACATGTTGAAACATCTACGGCAGAGCAGTAGAAGATTCAAAGGATGGACAATACACCCTCCTACCCTCTTACCCTCCTACTCTCCCACCCGCCTACTCTCCCAACCTCTTATCCCTCGAATGGCGTGTGTTCCTGCAATGATGTTGACGTTTGCGTCGAAGCGGGCCTGTCAACAACAGATCTACCTTGGACAGCTTTTCCATCACCTTGTGTCCATTAGATAAGTGGGTCACGGTGCAAAGTCACCTGGATGCTGCCGGACTTCACAATTGCATAGAGGATGCTCTTTTGTGAGCCTAGCAAAACATGTGGGATTGTGCTGTTGGGGATATTCTTTGGGCTTATTTCTATGGCCTTGAGGCCACCCAAATTGTAGCGGACATGTGTGATTTAGAATTGGAAAGACACTTTGACCCCAAAATGATTTAGAGCCAGTGTGGATTTCGGGTTGTCTCCGAGAACTATTCCCAGGTACTACAGGTGCTTAAAACTTCTCACCTCTGAGGATGTGGGTGAAACCGACTTTTTGTCAATTCTCAGAGGGAAAAGCATTCCCACCTGTCTCCGCATGGGACACCTCGTAGCCGCTGTAGAGCTCCTAGGCCATGCACCATGTCCCGGCGGACATCGGCAAACGCCATGGATGGCAGGTTGTTCTTCTAGATCAAAGAGTTTCTTGACAGATTTGTTGGGCCTGTGTCAAACTGCGACCCTCCCAAAGAAAAAGAACATCCAGGATGCAGATCCAAGCATCACAAAGTGCAAACACCTCTCTGTGCCAATATAAGTGTTTGACAACCTAATAGCAATGGCCTCCAACCTACTAGCGATGGCCTCCAACGGCATGCTTTCCAAGAATCATTTTCGGCAAACATGGCCACCAAGCTCACCGCTTGCGAAAAGGATCAGTGACCACACAAGAAAGCCCAACAAAGCCAGTGCCTGTCAATCACCCCACTTTGTGGACGACTTGTTCCTTGTCGGCATGTTATTGACACATGGTCCTGACATGTCCCGATGAAGCCTCAACATTCTCAAACAGGTCTTGACTTCTAAGATCTTGACCTGAAGTTCGTCCAACCACCCAGCCAACCTCACCTTTCTCGCCGGGTGACGATGCCTTTCTCTTTCAACACCATCATCGCCAGTGCCCGAGCGCCGGCTGTGTGCTGCGGCAGCAGTCCACTCCGCGTGACGAGGCCCACGGTCACAGTGGCAGCTGAGGGGCCAAGCTGCGCGAGTTCCTCCCACGGGAAACTGTGTAGTAGCGTCTTTGCTCCAAGTAGCGATGCCAGGAGCCCCTAGTAGCTTCTTGTTCCTAGTAGTACGGCCAGGAGCCCCTAGTAGCGTCCTTGCTCCTAGTAGCGATGCCTGGTGATTGCTAGTGCTCAGTTCTGGTAAAAAAGAAGTTGTTTTATCACACTACGTCACTACGTTCTTTTCTTCAAACCCAGGCCATCAGGGAAATGTACTTGGTCAGCGGAAGATCTTGAAACTGAATATATTCAACCTGCCAACAAATATATACTCTAGGTTGGTAGTAGTAGCTAGTAGGTTGGATCGCTATTACTCTAGACTGGTGGTAGTAGCTCGCCTTCTTGAGCCGCTCGTGCATCGTCACCTCACCGGAGACATCGTGAGACATCTGATGCGTCTCAAGCACTGTCAAGCTTTGAAGCGAGCGAAGCGAAACGTTCGCAGTAGGGGCTCCTGGCCTCGCTACTAGGAGCAAAGATGCTACTACGGGCTCCTGGCCTTACTACTAGGACCATGTTTGACCCATGTTGAAATGGCGTTCTGCTCTCCCCTCGTCTACCCGCCCCGACCATGGTCGATGCATTCGCAGCCAAATGCCCCAAAATGATGCCACTGTTCCAAACCCACCAAAGCAACTCGTTCATTGTCAGCCGTGAACTACTCCGATCTCACGTTACTTGGCTCGACAACAAATAATTGAGTCAAGATGCGGCAAGCTCGAAGCCGCCAGCGCCGCCGCCCACCACCAGCACCGTCCTTGGCCGTGTAGAGCTCTCCCACAACAGTGGAATTGTTGAGGCAAACGAATTGGACGCTGTAGGAACTAGAAGCTACTAGTAACAAGGGCATTGCTGCTTGTAACAATTGATGGGACTTGCTGGACGGTCTGAGAGTATGGCCAGGAGCTACTAGTAGCTTCTTGAATCCCTGCTAATTGTTTGTTTGTACTGAAGCTCTGTGGTGTCTTCTCCTGAGAGTTTTGCTGAATATGCCACAAAGTGCGATGATAAATCTGGAAGCAATGACATTGAACTCTTATGTAGAAGAACAAGTGAAAGCAATCGCAATACTGCGAACACGTGAAGCTGATGATGAGAAGAAGCAAAGTCAAAGTGGATGAAATCACCACAAAAGACAGTTAAAAGTAAGCCGCGATCCAACAAATAGGTATATATATATATATCTATTTAGAACTCTTCACCGGAATGAGGTGGAGACCAAACAACCTGACGGAGACCGGACCTCCGGTGCCCAAGGCTCTTCGGACCGGTCCAGCTGGGCAGCCGCTCCAAAAGCCGTGCCCAGCGTCGCCCAAAGCCATCGATCGGCTTCACCGGCGTGACCGAGCGAGGCACCTCCTCTTGCCTCGGAAACACCCAGGCAAAGGAACACACTACTAGGGGCTCCTGGCCTTACTACTAGGAGCAACGACGCTACTAGTAGCTTCTTGTTGCTAGTAGTAATGGCTTCCACCCTAGTAGCGATGGCCTCCACCTAGTAGCGTTCCACGTGCCGTCAGAAAATACAAGTCTGACTAAACGTGATGCGTTGGCGAACATTGGGAGACACCTCCTGCATCACCAATTCCACACAATGAAACCTGGTACGCCTCTGGTGGTATTTTTTCCAACAAAATTGACCCCAGACGCGCGAACAACAAATCCAATCCAAGCCGCACACGCGGTGCCGAGCCGATATTGATGGACAAAATGTCGTAACCTCGGGGTGTTCATGACCGTTACGGTTGGAGGAAACAAAATAGCAATGGCCTCCAACCTAATAGCGATGGCCCTTGGGGCGTTCATGACAGGAGGAAGGTGTTCAATGGAGTTCATGGTAACGGGAGATTTGCCCAGTGCGCACCCCAAATGAACACCTTTGCGAGCAACTTATATGAACACGTGGCTGGAACACATGTAGTTGGAACCAAACGGTGATGATCTGTAACAGGTGCCTTTTCCTTTTCTCTGCCTCTTCCTTTAAACTGACAACTAGTTAGTTTTGAAAACTCTTTTGTTTAGGGTGACTATTGCGACGCAAACTAGAGGTGAATCAAACTCATGACCTTTCCTCTAGTTTCTGATATTTGTTTTTGAATTTGCTTTGATCCCACAAACAACGCTTCCCATGGCTTCAGATGCAACCAAATCTGGCCAGAGAGGCGGGAAACTTGACATACGTAATTAATATAGTCACTTGGCATGCAGTAATAAACTACCTCGCAACATTTGATTGTTTCCGCATTGGTGGGATGCATATTAAAAGATTGCTCAGTGACCAAGTCAAATTTGCAAAACTGCTATGAACGTTGCTGGTGTTCACTGGAACCGGGTTGTGGCTACTCAGCTACTCTTTACCTGTAAAGTTGGGAAAAGGGCATGAGCACTGTAGCAAACTCCCCATCCAAAACGCCACCATGGAAAAAAATTCTAGACGGAAAACATCCGCTGGAATGACACCTCTCCCTCCCTCGTCACCACCATGCCGCGACCGCGTGGCGGATGGGTGGACGCTGCTCGGCCAGCAGCACTTGCCGCTGTTCCAGATCGACGCCCACGCAGGTTCCGTGGATCAAGCGAACACGGGCGAAGCGCGCCAGGATGTTCAAATCCAAATGGCACTCACGGCGAGTGTAACTTGGTGAGATATGGTCATTGGAGCTTGTGCAGAGGAGACATATTCAAACATACCAACAAGATGGAGCCCACAAACCCGAATGCAAACACACATGTCAATCCACTGTGTATAGAAAGAGACACAGCCGGTTAGAGTCTCTTTTTTACGCTCCGGCATGCCGTTGGACATCATGCGCTGGGGACTCCACCACCAAGGCAGCATGTGCTGGGGACTTCACCACCAAGCTCCGTCTTCGTCATGAAGGGTCTTCGTTTTGCATTCAAAACAAGCACTGGCGTAAAGGTTCTGGCAGATCCACATCACGAAAGAAACAATGGCATTGTCCCAAAATCTCGAAAAGAAGCACTTGAACATAATAACCAATAATACAGAGAAATCCACAACTGCGGCGTCTGATCTTCTTGTAAATAGGAGTGCAAGACCGTGCGTTGTTGTGTTTCACCTGCGTCAACAAGAAGTATATGAGACACACACAGCGGAAGTGAGTAAAACTATCCTATAAGTCCAACATTGGCATCGGTCCCGTATGTGTGTGCACACTCTTGTGGGACACTCTTGTAGGACACTCTTGTGGGACACTCCTGTAGGACACTCTTGTGGGACACTCTTATACAGGGTTATTCAAAAGACTTGCTTGAAAATCGCAAACCGATGTAAACCCTTGCGCCTCGGATGAGCCTATTTGGCTTACACACGATCTTACGCATAGTGTCGATACACATTCACACCCCATGGCCAAAGTGGCAAAATTTTGGCTTCCGCATCGTTCTTCCGCATCGCTTCACGTCGGCTAGTCTAGACTCCCTTCCACAACAGTTTCTGTCATCTTCGGCTGTGCAGGGTTTAGCTTGCGCAAACCAAACTCCAGAACAAGTCCCTCGTGTAATTTCATGACGGAGGTCTTGACGATGCTCACTTCTCTTTTTGTCTACACAAACCGCCAAGTCAAAGCCAGCTGCTCATCTCACCTCGGAAATCGCTGCAGTCATTGTTTTTCCTTCATGTAGAAGGTATGCAGAGAGGTCATGAACATGTAGCCCTGACCGTGGCAGGGCACACTCCGGGACACTCTGCGCTTGACTTCCATGGACATGTGTCCCTGACCGTGGCAGGGACCACTCTGGGACACTCGCTTGACTCATGGGGCCAATAATTTCATAGTAAGATAGAAGAATAGCCCGTCGCAGTTATGTTTTCTTTGGTGCTTATTTCTAATCAACGGACCCCCCGCCAGGAGCCACGGAACATCGAACGGCACCGATCTCCGCACGTTTCGTCCGCGTCATCCCTGAAAACTCCCGTTCGCTCACGGGAGACCTCCGGAAAGTGGACCCTCGGCGTTGGGGGTCTGATGGGGTCGGAAGGAAAGTCGAAGTTGGAATTGAAGCATGTTGAAGCAAACAGAGGACAAAGGGGGATGCCCAAAACTGGCCCGTTAACCCACGGGAGCATGTCCTATACGAAGAAGAGGTTCTATATTATATATATAATAAAATAAAAAATTAGCCCAGCTGGAGACCCCAATAGCAAGATACAAACCGAGACAAAAAGAAAAATCTGGAAACAGCTGCTGTTTTCAACACATCGACCATCTCTTCCTTGGACACCATCATCACATAACCGGGACACCTCACAAAATGACCAGGGCACCATCAAAACATGACCGAGACATGATTGGGACACCATCACAACATAACCGGGACACCATCACAAGGTGACCGGGACACCAGCATGACATGACGGGGACACCATCACAACATGACCGGGACACTATCACAACATGACCGGGACACCGTCACATGACCCAGACACCATCAAAACATAACCGGCACACCGCCAAAACATGACCAGGACACCGTCACAACATGACCGGGACACCATCAAAACATGACCGGGACACCGTCACAACATGAGCGAGACACCATCACAACATGACTGGGACACCGTCACAACATGACTGGGACACAATC